AAAAAATCTTCTTATTTTCTTTGTCATTTATTTAAATTAAGTTAATACACAAAAAAAATTTCAGCAAACAAAAATTGGCTTGTAGAAAACACAAATAATATTTAAAAATAAGTAAAAGTTAAAAAGATCAGAAACTAGTAAAAGAGAAAAAAATATAGAATTTAAAGTGAGAAAAAAATTAAAATAAATATTTTATAAAGAAAGAACTGAATATATATGTGTGTGTGTGTGTTAATGTAAATAATTATGTGTATTTATTGATTATAGATAGACCAAATAAAAAAGGACAGGTGTCCAACTTTTTAGGTCTTTTCTTGCTTTCAAAAAAAATATGTATATGTTTATTTCAAAAAAATTTATTATGAATGAGATACAATTTACGCTAGTTGTATGAGGAGTACTTTATTGTTATTATATTTGAATTCGTGGGACCTACACTTTGTTTTTCTTCTTTGCGTCTTGTTTCTCTTTCTTGTTTTTCTCTTTCCTCTTTTTTCTCAATTTCATTTTTTCTTCTTCATAAATTTATTTTGAAACCAATTTAATAACTCTCTCATTTTGTACATATGAAAATAATTATTTACCTATTTGTTTTAACTATTTTTTAAAAAAATATTTTATTATCAAAAATAAAAAGGTATGAGCATACAAAAATTCAAGTTAATTTTTCGAACAATCACTTATGTCATGTATATTTACCACTTAAATTATTTCTATTTTTTTCTCATTTTTTATTTATAGTACTTTAAAAAATTTCACCTTCATATTTCGTATCATTTTAATTTCTACTTTTAAAATTTATCTAAAACTTATTTTTTACTTTATTTGAAATTTATGTTTGATCATGAAAATTTGAAATATAACTTTTCAACTTGAAGGTATACTTCAAATTTAAAAAACAAATTAGTATAATATGTTTTTTAAACTCATTTTTCACTTTTGATATTATATTTAAGTACATTCAAACATGAATATTATTCACAATTTTATTTTCAAATTTTGCTCAATACATTTTTGTAGACGAGCGGAGTGAGACAATAAAATTGTTTAGGCGAAAGAAAGATTGAGCAAAAAGCTTTCATTGTATCGGATCTCGCAATATTAATAACAGGTGAAGGGACACGCATAAGTCATATGCAGCGTGTTTCATGCTTGTTCTCCCTAAGAAGCATGTCAAGTACAATAGGGCGGAAACCTTAATGTAAATAACTACATGTATCTATTGATTATACATAGACCAAATAAAAAAGGACAGGTGTCCAACTTTTTAGGGCTTTCCTTGCTTTCAAAAAATCATGTATATGTTTATTCCGAAAAATTTTATTATGAATGAGGTACAACTTACACTAGCTGTATGAGATAGTACTTTATTATTATTATATTTGAATTCGTGGGACCTATTCTTTTTTTCTCCTATTTCTCTTTCTTGTTTTTCTCTTTTTTGTCATTTTCTTTTTTTTTCTTCTTAAATTTATTTTGAAATCGATTTAATTACTCTCTCATTTTGTACATATAAAAATAATTATTTACCTATTTGTTTTAACCAATCTTTTTTAAAGAAAAAATTATTTTATCATTAAAAATAAAAAAGGCATGCGCATACAAAAGTTCAAGTTAATTCTTCAAATTCTAACTTATGTCATAAAAATTGTCCACTAAAATTATTTCTATTTCTTTTCTCTGATTTTCATTTATAGTACTTTAAAAATTCCCACCTACATATTTCGTATCATTTTATCTTCTACTTTTAAAATTAATCTAAAACTTTTTTTTTACTTTATTTGAAAATTGATGTTTGATCATGAAAATTTGAAATACAACTTTTTAACTTGAAGGTATATTTCAAATTTAAAAATCATGTTAGTATAATCTGTTTTTACACTCATTTTTCACTTTTGATATTATATTTAAGTACATTAAAACATGAATATTAAACTAAACATTAAAAAAAAGAATAATGAAACACTTGTTATTAAACTAAACATTATCAAATATTTGGCATTTGACCATAGTATTTAATATGTTTTTTTTACTATATTTGAAATATATGGAGCAAAATTTGAAAATAAAATTGTATTTTATTTTTTTAAAAGAATATTTAAATTATATTCATGTTTGAATGTACTTAAATGTAATATCAAAAGTCAAAATTGAGTTTAAAAATAGATTATACTAATTTATTTTTTAAATTTGAAATATATCTTCAAGTTGAAAAGTTACATTTTATATTTTCGTGATCAAACATCAATTTCAAATAAAGTAAAAAATAAGTTTTGGATAAATTTTAAAAGTTGAAATTAAAATGATAAGAAATGTGAAGGTGAATTTTTTTAAAGTACTATAAACAAAAATGAGAAAGAAGAAATAGGAACAATTTTAGTGGTCAATATATATGATATAAGAGACAGTTTAAAAAATTAACTTGAATTTTTGTATGTTCATGCCTTTTTATTTTTAATGATAAATATTTTTTTAAAAAAACGATTAAAACAAATAAGAAAATAATTATTTTTATATGTACAAAATGAGAGAGTAATTATGAGTTTCAAAATAAATTTAAGAAAAAAAAGAAAATGAGGAAAACGAGGAAAGAGAAAAACAAGAAAGAGAAATAGAAGACAAAGAAAAAAAAACAAAGTGTAGGTCCCAGGAATTTAAATATAATAATAATAAAATACTCCCTCATACAACTAGTGTGAGATGTGCCTCATTCATAATAAAAATTTTCGTTTATTCCATTTAAAAATAAGAAAAAAGGATTAAAAATACCCTTAAACTATTCGAAATAGCTTATATATACCCTTAAACTTTATTTCGGCTCAAAACTACCCTTCCCGTTATACTATTGGGTCAAAAGTACCCTTCTTATTAACGGAAGTTGTTAAATGCCACGTGGATGCCATATGGATGCCACATTGCATGCCAATAGAATTCCACTGCTACGTAGACTAAATAGAAAGGGTCAAAAATACCCTTAAACTATCCGAAATAGCTCATATTTACTCTTAAACTATATTTCAGCTCAAAATTATCAATCCCGTCAAACTATTGGATCAAAAGTACCCTTCTTATCAATAGTTGTTGTTAAATGCCTTGTGGATACCACATTGCATGTCAATAAGGTTCCACTGCCACATAGATAAATCCTTAAATTCTAATTAATTTCTTTCTCATTTCATTATTTCAGAAATATTATATTCACCCGTTCTTTCTCATTTCACGGCTAGGGTTTCATACTTTTCTTCGTGGCTGGGTTTTAAAGTGGATATTCATGCTTGTAGGTTAGTAAATATTTTTTCTTATTTTATTATGTTTACGATTTCAAAGCATGATAGTTAGGATTTCACAACTTTCCCCTAATTTCGCAACTAAGGCTTCGTAGCTTTCTTGGGGGCTAGTTTCAAAGTAGATATTTATGGTTGTAGGTTAGTAAATATTTTTCTTATTTTATTGCGTTTACAATTTTAAAGTATGATAGTTAGAATTTCACAACTTTTCCGTCATTTCGCGGCCAAGGTTTCATAACTTTATTCGGAGCTGACTTTCAAAGTGAAATTTTGTTGTTGTAAATACAATAAAATAAGAAAAAAGTTTATTAACCTGTAACCACGAATATCCACTTTGAAACCCAGCCACGAAGAAAAGTATGAAACCCTATCCGCGAAATGAGAGAGAAGGGGTGAAATCATTTCTGGACAATAATGAAATGAGGGGAAAATGAGTAATTAAGATTTGGGATTTAGTCAATGTGGCATATGCGAAATTTAACAACTTTCGCTAATAAGAAGGTCACTTTGACCCAATAGTCTGACGGAAAGGGAAGTTTTGAGCCAAAATATAGTTTATGGGTATATTTGAGCTATTGCAGATAGTTTAAGGGTACTTTTGACCCTTTTCCTTTTAGTCTATGTGGCAGTGGAAATCTATTAGGGTGTCATGTGGCATCCACATGGTATTTAACAATTTTCGTTAATTAGAAGGGCACTTTTGACCCAATAGTTTGACGAAAAGGGTAGTTTTGAGCCAAAATAGAGTTAAAGGGTATATATGAGCTATTTCAGATAGTTTAAGAGTGTTTTTGACACTTTTCCGTAAAAATAATTTCAAAAGGGTAATAAGATTCTAGTTAGATTTAGGTATATCACTGAAATTTCAAATCACAGCTTAGAAAAGTATTTACGTATTATAAAAAATAAATTAGATAATACATTATTCAAAAATTATTATCTGCTATATTATTTAATCTAAAACTTCTAGTAACATAATTATACTGTTCACTAGTCAACCAAAAATGATATAAATATCACTAGTCCTAGTATATGATTATAAGAGTCTGTTCGACATTGCTACTAAAACGGTTTATATTTAGATATATTTTTTTAAATAGCTTTTTCTAAGTGCTTTTTTTAAAAAAGCATACGTGTTGGGTTAATTTTCACTTGAAAAGTATTTTTGATAAACAGATTGTGTTTGAGTAACTTTTTTTTTTTGATTTTTAAAAGTACTCTTTGATAGTCAAATCATGAGCAATGACAAGTATCAATGCACTATTAATATTAAGATTAATTTAAGTATTTTATAAAATATTAATTAAATTTATTTTTACTAAATTAAAGTATACCTATTCAAATTTTCAATCAATATTGAAATTAGATGAATAAAAAATTGAATACTGATATAATATGACTACATGTTGTACATGATTACAATGCAAATTTCTAGTCCTCCCATGGAACCACAATCATATACTTGGTCCTCTCGGAACCCAAAATCGGCGTGTTACTGAGTCATCCATAGTTAATGTAGCAGTGTGGTAGAAAAACCTCCTCTTTCCATTAATTCAATTTGATTTCTTCAATCTTGATCTCTGTGTTTTCAAAATAGCCATTTTACTCCATTTCAAAATTGTGACAGTGAAGTTGTTTTCACAATATCTACATTCATATACATACCATATATACCAGGTATAATTAACAGAAAAAGCAAATTGAAGACATCAATAACTTAGATACATTAACATAAAGCAGATAAAAACTTAGATACACTAACATAAAAGTTTAAATACATAAAAATATTACATCAAATACATGAAATAAACAAATTAGATACATAGGATATTTAACGTCAAACACAATTCATAGCCGTCGCTGATAGCTCTTGTTATTTGTCAGGGCTTTCTCTTTGGCGTCCGATTTCCACAATTTGAACTTTGCAAATCCAATCTCGTGTTGTTAATGCTATTTGATCGATGTTCAATCTTAGTACCATGTTTGTTACAAATATTTAACTAAGCAGTAGTATCTGCAAGATAGCATCACTATTGAGTGAAAGTCCTTTCTTTTATGTGGTTGCATGAACATGAACAATTAAATCAGGAAGAACATGCAAGAACATATTGTCCTCCACATACTAAAAGTATATAATTTGTAATGAAAGTACAATAGGAATATATGTAATGAAATTCAGAACATGCAAGAACATAATTATCCCTAACTTAGTGAAACATTAGAAAATATAATTTTCTCAAATCTGTCTGCTAGTAATAAAATTAGAATTTTAAGTGAAAATAACAAGTTTAATTTTGTACCATATTGATTTTGTCCTTTGTTGACTACTAAAATCTACAAGAAAAATTGAAAATGGGAAGAGGGAAAACATAAAAAGGGGAAAAAATACCTTAGAAAGGGAGCAATAGTTTTTTTCTTCAAAGGAAAGGATGACAAATTTGTGCTTTATGAGTAATCATGAATAATAATGTGTGTGTGTATATATATAATACAAAGTAGACACGTTATACTATGTAAAAGTACAGGTGTCTTTCTTTAAAATTGATGGATTTGGCAGCCAATGAGATTGTGCCAAAAAAGAGAAAAAATTATTACATTTAATAGTAAAATTTAATGTTGTATGCCAGAAAAAGAAGTTATTACATCTGATAGTAGAATTTGAATAGCCTTTGGTCCAAGTTTATTTTTGAGCTCCATAATTTTATATTATTATTATAAGATATACAAATTTGGAAGTTCTGTCATTTGTGTTTGTGGATGAGAGTGAGATGGTGTTATTTTCTATATTTACTTTTGTTTTTTGTATTATTAAATGAATTGATTGAGGAGGAGCACAGAAGAAATTCTGACTTCAGAAATATGGAGTAGAAAATAAAAATGGCAGAAATCACTTATCTTTGTTCAAGTATATGTATTATGTATTTATCTTGAATGATTGCTATGAAGTTGCCTCTTAGGATTTTTTGAGAATTTGTTTGAGAATTAAGAGTTATTGTGACTATATTATAAAAATAAACTGAAAACCAGTATATTATTTTTGAGGTAACAAAATTGTCGTGTAGCAAGTTTTAACTATTGTCCAAGTTTAATTTTACAGTTGGTATGTGTATATACATAAAGATGTCATGTCTGTAAAAATCAATAAATTACTACTTGATATAATAGATATCTTCTTGCCTAGAAACAAAATTAGTAAGACTTCTTCTTTAAATTAGAAAGGACCAGACAATTTGCTAGTGAACCAGGTCAGATATACTTGGTGATTGACATGTTCCAATTTGTCCAATGTTCTACTGAAGTTGTGACTGCATTCTTCAACAGTATGAGGTCTAAGTGTTGAAGCAAAAGGCAACCAAGAGAAAAGTAAAAACAGTTTTATATTCATTTAAGTACATAGAATGCAAATTCCCTGGAAACTAACTCACTGAAAACTAACTCACAAGGTAACTTACTGTGAATTCTGTAATCTGAATAGAGCATTTGCATATACATGTGAGAAAGAGATGAGCTATTTGTGCAATTAAACAACATTGATCATATTTCAATCTTGCATCATGATAGAACCAAACATTCATTCATGTTTAAGTACTAATAATCTATAGTCTATGTGCAATAGTTGCCTTATAAGGATTTTTTTTATTATTATAATAAGCGCATAAGATCATACCATAAATCAAACATATAAATATATAAAATACATATCAATAAATGTGCTATAAAATTTACTCTCTGACATAGAGCAGTAACAATGAACACAATTCCTGATCGAATATATTCATTCTAGACCCAAATCCCAACCTTAATGAAGAAGTGAAGATCACAATATTTTAAGAAGTTAGATGTTGGAAGTTTGAATTGTGGCACATACACATTTGAAGAGGCCAACGACATCTCAATGAATGTAAAGTGACATGTTTCATTTGGTAAAACATAAATTATCAAATGATGAGCACTATTGCAGCTATGAAGGAACTTACAATTTCAAGACTAAGCTCATCGTTGTTGGGCGTAAATAATGTGAAGTTCTGAGTATGGGCAAACAGATAATGTAACATGTGTAAGTGATATTGAGAAAAGACAGGGTCCTGCAAAAATAAAGTAAAATCATTGACATATAGTAATGAGACTCAAGTTTTCAATAATCAATAGAACAGAGCTCAATGTCACAATTGTGTTATAGTGAGAACAAATGAATAGATTATAGAAATGAAGAAGTAGAGACGGAACACTATTTTTTTCAAACAAATTTTGATGTTACTATTGTCAACAAAGAGAAAAGGAGAAAATTAGAAAGCAAATTGATATCTTAATAAATTAACATAATCATGGTAACATGCAAACGTATATAGAATTGGATAATAAGGAATTAATACATTCAGATACTAAAATTATATTAAGCCAAATAATCCTTTAAAGGAATCTTGACAATTGTCAAAATGAGAGCATATAACATCAACTCGAATAAATTAGGGTTGGCTACAGAATCTCATTGTTCATGTTACTTCATTGAACATCTAATTCCTTCTAATTTTCATAAAGTGTAGGAGAAGGAGGGGGTGGGGGGAGATTGTTATTCATATATTAATTTTTTCATTGATTGATAGTAATATGGGAGGAGAATTCCTCTCTTCACCCAATTTTAAAATTTTAAATAAATATTTCAAACTCGTACACAAAAATATATAAAAGCAGTAAAGCACAAAGAGAAGGAACTTACTCATACTATAAAACTCACAAGACAAATTAATAATGGAAGAAGTTGCATCAACAATGGTGGATTTTCTGGTCTTGTGTTTTTGTGTTGAAGCATAGTACAGGAAGTAAAAAGGAGCTAAAACAACTCTTTAAATATTAGAATCAGGAACTTGATGAATATAATAAACCTTGAAGAGAAAATAGGTCATATTAACTAGATTGAGGAACATGTAAATTTACCTTAAATCATCATGAAGAATACTACAGTAAGGCATCCCAAATGAACAAAAAACTTGAGGAGACGTTCACAGAGAGATTTGATGTCTTAAGCTTCTCTCTTAGCCTATTTTTGGTACCTTTTCGACTTTCAAAAAATGCTTTTAAACGGTTTTATGTTTATGAACACTTTCTAAACTAAAAAATAACTTAAAGTCATGGTAATTTCATGGAAACACCAAAAAATTTGACAACTCAAATTCTTGCTTAACGACTAAATTAGTTGTCCATTGTATTTTTTTGTGTTTCTTTTTCCTGTAATATTGTGTTTAACAGATTTGGTTACATTTAAAAAGACATCTCTTATTCCTATTTAAACAAATAGTTTACATAATGAATAAATGATTAATTGTGAAATATGTTTCAGGTTTTTGCTCACGTGTTGATGTGCTAACAGATATAGTCACATTTAATAAGACATCTCTTATTCCTAGATATATATCCCTCAAATGATTATATTAGTAGCTAATTTTTTTCGAAAAGTTAGTACAATAACAAAAAGATCAACAATGAAAGCTTACTCTGAGTTTTCAGCCTTTGATATAATTGGTAATTTCATGGCAACACCAAAAAATTTGACAACTCAAATTCTTGCTGAACAAATCACCTGAGTGTTGTAAAATTTATCAATTTTATTAGAAAAGTACTAAATGAAAAAATATATCAAGAGGATAAACATCTACTCACCCTTAGTAGATAGTTCAACATCATTAACATCTGCGAAAACAATCAGCTGTTGACACTAATCAATTTTCATAACACATAAGTATTGCCTTCATAAGGGAATTTTGTCAAACACATGACCACATTTATTATCTGCAAAAATATCATATTGGCCAAAAAAATTAGTATTTAAGAAGTTGATAGTTGATACTACAAAATAATGAGAAAAAGACCATGCATGAGCAAAATAATTAATTAAGAGAACTATTGCATATCTATAAAATGAAGGGTTACATCTTTAACTCTGCTCTCCACTCTAATCTGTCTAGAGTGACAGCAACGCTGGCAAAGTTGGACTTAACATTTTTTTGTCCCTGAAAAAAGTCAAACTTCATCTGCAAGTTTAACTATTTCCTCTTCTTCACCTTTTAAATTTTAACCCCAAAATATGTAGAAATACCATAACTATGTGCTTCAAAACTATTGAGAAAAATGAAAGTTCAGGATGCACTATGTGCATCAAGGGTTCCAAATCATTAGAAAAAACAATTAAGAAAATAGACCAAGCTTAGCAAGGAGGATAAATTGTAATCCTAATCAAGCTTAAGCTTTATCCAATTTTGAATCATCTTATGGAAAACGTCAAATGAACGGGCTGCAGAAATATTTAACTTAAACAGTTTTAAATCTTAGTTATAAGTTATTTAAAGGAATCAACTATCAAAATCATAAACCTAAAACGTAAGATGAAATGAGGGGTATGGTGAAGTAAAACGTAAATTTAAAGTGTAAACTATAAAATGCAATCAGCAAATTGCTAAGAAAACAGATCCAGCGACTTACACATAAGTGAAGAAATAATGTATAATACTTCTTTTGCGTTTCTCAGCGTCATAAAAAGATGTTAAAACACTTGACAAAGTAAAAAAATAGAGCATTAAACATACTAAAATGAGGAAAAATCAGAGAAGAAGCAAGAGAAGAAGGAGAAGCTGACAACACAAATTTTTCAAGTTTATATAGTACACTAACAACATCATTAAACAAAAATAATCCAAAAGAGCGAAGAACAAAAGCCCAGAATAAACTCAGAAAAATATTTAGGTTAAATGTCGGAACATTGAAGAAGAAACATATAGCAACCATTGACTGAAATCTGGTGAAAAAAAACAGAACAAACCGCGGCTCAAAATACAACACAAAAAAAGAAGCAGCGAAAGTCCAAAATACAATAGATATTCAACATCAAAATGAGGTGTGAGAAGTTAAATAACAAACAAATAGAGAAGATAAGCAAGAAAAATTCATTGAACAGTGAAAAAAGTTGAGAGCATTAGTTGGTTTAACGTAATGACTGAAAATTTTGATTAACTCATCATCACTTATTTGCACTTGTATAATTTGAAATAAGAAAATTTGAAGCATTAAGAGGTAGGTCTTCTCTGTCGTTTCCTTCAGCTAGAACTATAAAAATAGTTACCCTTATAGGAAAAGTTGTTCCTGCATTGTTAGCATTTAGGTTAGTCAAAATCAACCATTTCAAATTTGACTAATTGGAACGGAACAATCTGAATTGAAAGATGAAATTTAAAACTTCAAATGTTGAATTGATATGATTGCAATGTAACTTCTAGTTAGCTTTAAAAACAAATGAAGTAAAGGAATTTAAAATTTCACAACATCTAGCATAAGGACGCTTACTTGTTACACTTATTACTTTTAAAAGTATCATGAAAATGCTTTTCGAATGATTTCATCATAAACTATATTATATGTAGAATGATCATCCGTGTCCTGTGTAGTTGGTGGACGTATTAA